CGAAAAACATTAATTCAATTCAAAAACGAAGATACCCTCGCGAGCTGAGGGTTTTGACTTTGTCCTCATCCAACCCGCTCTAAATTATCTGCTGTACGGACAGTGACGGCGAGATAGTCTCGCCTCATATCTAAATTCATCATACTTTTCGCTGCAAGGATACCACTTCACAATTTGTTAGCAAACATTCCCTGTGAAACGAACGCGTAATGCGAAAAAATAACTCAACTAATTGCATCTATAATCGATCATTATGCTCGGTCAACCTAACATTATATTTGTTGAGATCATAGTCTTTATGATATCACTGACAGAATCCGCAATATGTTATAGTCATGCAAAGGTCGAAAAAGTTGCCAAAAGCTCAAAATGCTGAACAATTTTAATGCGCAACTTGGCGTTTTTTTTTAATAACTCACTACTCATTGAAACATATTGAACATTTTCTACGATCAATACTTGCAATGAACCAACCATGACGCAATCAACAAAGAGAAATTTACAGACTCGTAAAGCGCCTTCAATATTATATCGCTTTATCGCTTGATTTCTCCATAGAGGTTTATTGACAATGAGAAACATACAGTGGTTCGTTTTTTTCGTCATGTAACGAGCGTAAGGACAAAATAAGAGTGCCTGTAAGAAATCGAACCTCAGACCTTTGGATTACGCGTTGTGAAGCTCAATCACAGACAAACAGAGACTCTAAGGTGAGCTAGGCCAGTCATAGGTTGAAAAAATCTGAAATTTCGTAACGAGTAAGTTACATTACGCTAACATTAGTTGTGAATTACATTTTGGTTTTTTCTCCAATGTAGAATCTCAACATATTAACACTAGGTTCGATATCTCGAAACGCGTAAGTTATAATTTTTGTTCAATAATGAATTCTGCGCTTATCTCCTTGGATAAGAAAATGAAATATTGAATTTCTGACAACGCCTCTATCCTTAAGAATTCTTTTATGCAGACATCGATTTGCTGCAAGTTTCTATTGGCCCTCAGCGATCCATCGAAAAAGTGCAAGCACGGTATTTGTTTCGCTCGCGGCCGTAGGAGTGCTCTGTGCTCAATACCATTAACTCAGTCATCACTGATGTATAACTGCTTACCTGAGCTGAACGCCACTAGAGTAATAAAAGTCACAGAGAAAAAGAAAATTTGATGACCCATAGTTGTGCGGTTGAGAGTTGAAAGAAAATTTTCCTTTTAGACAGCGCTTCTTGTATCTTGACTGTCGTAAGAGAAAGAATGTAACAGGCCTGTGCATGTTTGCAACAGGCTTGTGCACGTTTACCCCATTTGATCTTGAGCTTTGCATGGGAAAAAAAAAATTAGCAAATTAGCTGGCTGCGCATTCTGGTACAAAGCTGGTCATGACTTGCATTCGTTCTCTTTCGACGGACAAGATACAAGAAAGCGCCTTCTAAAAGGGAAATTTGGTTTCAACTCACAACCGCACAGCTATGGGTCACTGCATTTTATTTCTCTCTGTGGTTTTAATTACC